CCCACTGGCTGGATCCAACCTGTGGCCCTTGAATTTGACCCCCCTGTTCTAGACAATCCATCTCCCCCATATTTCTAAACATACTAAAATTTAAAAACAAGAAACATTCACAGCTGGTCAATAGTTAAAATAATAAATGATTATGCATGCCTGAGAGTCCCCACTTGCATGATATTCAGTAAATATGCCTCATACACTAGTTTTAGACCTCTGGCTGCAAAAACTGTGAGACTAGTTTATGACACTTTGTGGAGAAGAATTATCCAGTTCTGGTGTTCCAGGATAGTTTAACCCAAACGAAGGAGAAAAGGAAATGCAATTATGCAACTAAAAAAGGTAGTTTTTCGGGATCTGTTGCTCCATGACAGCTGAAAGATACCACTGATTTAACCAACCTTGAACTTCTTTAGCAAATAAAGCTGTAGCTGTTCAACAAAGCTGTGGCCTTTGGGAATTTGCATCATCTTGTTTTGCTCATTTGGGTTAAAAAGAAATCCTACCTCTTGGGATACATAATAAGTAGTAAGGCCTAATGATCAACATTAACAACACATAGAAAGATGCATGCCCCTGTTCAATATTTCCTGTCAAGGAAGATTCATCTAAATACACAATTAATTTCCAAAACACTAAACAAAGTAATGAAGCGGAGGTGCATGAGGCTAAAAGAAGATTTTATCTTCCTTTCTGGGGCCATACCTTCTCTCCTTTTTTCACCTCCTACTTTGAAGTACACAGACCTTCTTTCCACCACAAATTCACATCTGTTCTCCCTTGGAGACGGTCTTGCTCCTCAGAGATTCCTGTGGTCAGCTGAAAGGGGGAAAAAAGTAGGTACAAAAAAAAATCAGATGGTTACAGCAGCAGAACAATAAATGAATGAATTAAAGTGTGATATAACCTGGCAGGTATTTGAAAAATAAAAGAAAAAGGGGCTGAGTGCTAGATTCTTGTTATACCAGTCTGGAAGGAAAGAGAAACAAAGAAAATACTTGAAAAGACAAAAGCAAAATGGAGAGAGAGATTAAGGAAGAGATAAAGATGTATTTTAGACAGCAGGGAAATGATAAGGAAAACTGGAAAGCAGCAAGCTCGTCTCAAACAGAAAAACCAAACCAAATAAAATGTAGATGAGTGACAATACAGAATACAGGACAACAGAGTTGGAAGCGACCTTGGAGGTCTGCAAGGGAGGAAATGGCCCCGATTCCCTTCACAAGGCACACCTGGGGATGGAATTTAAAGGAGAGGAAAATGGGAGGGGCGATTTTGGGAACAAATGCTGAGATCATCTGATGTTAACTCTTTATCTGAGTTCCTGGCATCCTTCCNTTCATCTGATTGATTGAGTCCTGGAAGTGACGAGAGGGTTCCAAAGAGAAAAGGGACCTCAACTCCATGAGCTGCACCCATCCATTCTTGCCAGACGGAAGTCGAAAGTTGGTGATTGAAGGAGTAAACAAACACAGAGCCCTCCGCTGCTACCATCCTTGCGGCAAGTTCAAGGAGTGAGCACACAAAATAGTGATCTCTGCTAATATGAGCCACGATCTGACGGTTGGGATTTGACCCTTCACTGTACTTCAGCACTACAGCCTCGGAAAAATCTTCTTCAAAATCTCGGAATATGATGTCTATAGCTGATAAGGCCTTCTCCCAGATCCTGTTTTTGTCATCGTCTCCATTGTTCAGAGCTCGAGGTGTAAAGACTGTGCCATCCTCCCTTGTAATACCTATAAGTAGTGGCTTTGCTGGAATTTTCCCCTTCTGTAGAATTCTCTTTGGATCTTCAGGAAGGAAATCCCCATCGAAGGTGGGTAAGAAATAAGAACTGAAATTCAGAAACGCAGTGGCTTCCTTATTTTGGAGACAGCTCATCACAGCACTGTCGTTCCCTTCTCTGCAGTTCAACAGATCAATTACATTAATGGCACGTTCCCGGATCTTTTCAGGTGGCATCGAAGCCCAGGGTGCATTGGGGGCGCCACTCTGGAGCACCGCTCGGTCAAAAAGGGATTGGCTTATAGGAGAGAGGAGGTGGAAACCCACAGAGGCTGCTCCAGCACTGTGGCCAATGAGAGTCAACTTATTTGCATCTCCACCAAAGACCGCTGCATTTTCCTTCAACCAATTCACAGCCAGATATTGGTCCCATAAGCCCATGTTCCCTGGGGCTCCCGGTGGGAAGGAAAAAAAGCCCCAGATTCCCACCCGGTAATTCAGAGATGCCACAATGACATTTTCGGTAGCAGCTAATGTTGACCCATTGTATAAGTCCGATGACCCTGAACCAACAGTAAATCCTCCACCATGGATCCAAACAAGGATGGGGACTGACCCAAAGGGCTGGGGGTGAGGCACCCAGATATTGAGGAAAAGACAGTCTTCCGAATGGGGCTTATTGGCAACCCATATCTTTGAAGGATAGTTAAAAATGGTCCATTGGTGACAAGGTTTCCCAAAGTGGGTAGCCTCCAAGACATGGCTCCACGGTTGATGTGGGACAGGTTTCTGGAAGCGCAGTCTCCCTACCGGAGGCTCAGCATATGGAATTCCTAGATAGGCATTTACGGCACCGGATCTAGTTAGGACTCTCATGCCTTTAATGGATCCAGAACTGGTGACCACCAGGCTGTCATTTTCAGCAATGTCACCGGAAATCAGTTGGCAGAAGCAAAGTCCCAGGAATGCATGGAGGAGAATAGGCATGGCAGCAATCGGAACGAATATGACCCAGGATCAGAATTTACACCTTGGCTCCAATCTGTTGAAAGAGAGAAAGAGACCAACACGAAAACAACAACACCCACTGTAATATCTAGCCCATCATCTTTAGTCATTGGTCAATGAGGTACAGCATAGGGCAGTACCTGGCCCCAGAAGACAAATAGGGTTGCAGTTAGTTCGGGAATTCTTCCAGGAATGGTAAGGCTATGGGCTAGCCTGGGAAATAGGAAAGCTATCTCCAAAGAAGGAAATGTGGAGGCCTTCCATATTTTTGCTGGAAAAACTACAAAGATGTGTGAATGAAGCCATCCGAAAGCAAGTTTAACTCAAAAGGTCCTGTCCACCATGTGGATCAGTCAAACCTGAAGACATTTGTTTATATTTCATGTTTCCAGACCAGGAGTGTCAAACTNTATTTCTCTCTATTTCTCTCTCTATCCCTCTATCTACACTCTCTCTCCCTCCCTCCTACCTACTGTATTTCTCTCTCTCTCTATTTCTATTTCTCTCTCCCTACCTACCTACTGTATTTCTCTCTATCTCCCTCTCTATCCCTCTATCTACTTACCTACTTTTTTTAAAAAAATTGCTTCTTCAAAATCTGGGTGCGTCTTATACTCCGGTGCATCTTATACACTGAAAATACGGTACTTAGCGTATTTTTCATAGTATAAGACGCTCCAAAGTATAAGACACATTTAGCTTTTGGGGAGAAAAATAAATCTGCCTCTGCCTCCTTGCAGCAAACAGCCCGTTTCAGTTTCAGCACAGCCTGATTAGCATAGCAACTGATTGTCAGGCCTCCGATGATCAGCTGTTTCTAGCTGCAGGGATTGCCATAGCCTATTGCCGCCTCCGCACACCCCGTTTTTGGCCTCCGTATCCCATTTTCAGCCTCTGCATGCCCTGTTTTTGGCCTCTGTGCACCCTATTTTCTACCCTGGGTAGCGGGGATCAGAGTGGGCTGAAAATGGGGCCCGTGGAGGCCAAAAATGGGCTGCGGAGGCCGAAAATGGGGCGCATGGAGGCGGCAATAGGCAATGGCAATCCCTGCAGCCTGAAACAGCTGGTGGTCGGGAGGTCGATCCAACCGACAATCAGCTGCTTTTGGTAATCAGGCTGTGCTGAAACTGAAACAGGTTGTTCGCTGCTTGCTGCAAGGAGGCAAATTGCTGGGAGGCAGAGGCCAAAGGGTGGGGGCTGGAGGGTTGGGCCAGGCTAATATTTGGTGTACAAGACGCACCCAAATTTTCACCCTCTTTTAGCGGGGAAAAAGTGTGTCTTATATTCCAAAAAATACAGTACTCACTCCGTATGGAAGGTGACAGAAGAGTGCACTTCAATGGATGTCTATATCAGTCTCCGATCTTCCTCAGCGATACTGTTGCTAAGGCAGAGATCTTGTCCTCGGTAAAATACGATGGATGCAATATTAACCCTCATGGTAGATTTTCTTTCGTGGTATCCTTTGCATTTTAGGAGCACAAGGCCAGGGTGACGTCCCTGGAGCAGCAGGTCTCCCAGGCCAAGATGCGCTATTCCGTAGCCCTGCGCAACCTGGAGCAGATCAGCGAGCAGATCCATGCGCGGCGGCTCCAACGCTTGGTCGGACGGCGCGCTTCCCCAGTTGGTGCTGAAGCCAGCCCAGCGATACTGTACGGCGGGATGGTGCTACCTCCAGAGCCCGTCACCTCGTCCGACACGCTCTCGGTCCTCAGCTTCCAGACCATCGCCTCCGACTTGCAGAAGTTTGACTCGGTTGAGCACCTGATGGGCCTGTCTGATGCTGCTAGTCTCAACAGTGATGAGCTGGAGGAAAGGGAGCAGCGGCGGATGGCTCAGCCCCACTCCTTTAAACACCACCGCAGCATCAGCCTCTGACCTGCTCCTTCTCCCGCCGCCCCTTTAAGTCCCGGCCTTCAGAAGAAGGTTGAGGGGGGAAGTGCTGGTTCCCAGGCACTAGAAGAAGTTGCAAGCGGAGGCATGGATTCCATAATGGTTTTTGACCTCATCCATCTGCAGTGTTGATTTTTCCACTCCACTATAGGTGCAAATCCCAGATTTTCTGCCCTTAATCTTAATTTAAACCCCACCTCGGGGGTTCATGTCCCAGTCCCAGGTTCCCCCCCACCCCGATTTTAGCATTCTTAATCCCACCCCATCTGATCTATCAAGCTGCCATCTCCCCAAGCATGCCCCTCTTCCCTGGGAGCATTGCATGCCGGAAGTAATCTGCAACTTTGCACTTTTATCCTGGCTTGTTGGATCCCTGGTGATGTAGTTATGCTCAGCTGCTGGCAGGCTGGTCTAGAAGCAGAGAGGGGAGGGGAGAGAGGGAGGGAGAGAAAGAGAGAGAGAGAGGTGTGGGAGGGAAGCAACTTTGCTCCTTTTAATCTTTCTTTGAGGGGAGGGGGCGAAGAGGAATATAGGTGGGATGTAGAGCTATTAGTGTAGAAATGCTCCCCCCCCCCAGGCGCCTCTCACTGCCTTTGAGAGAGAACTTCCCACACTGCTTTCCCGCAAGGCTATAGATGACAATAAATGGCTTGTTTAAAGAAGAACTCTGGTGCCCCACAGGGCTTCTCACTATCACCCATAACTGACAAGGCATGCTATTTGTCCCTCCTTTGCAACAGAGGGCACACACACACACACACAGACACACACACAGACACACACACACACACAAGCAAGATGGCAGCCACCCGCCTCTTTCTAAGCTCCTCCTAAGCAGAGATGCGCCGTCTTGCCTCATTGCAAAATCCAATGGAGAAACTGGCACCGCGTTGGTACTGCCCAGCACTCCCAGGAGAGGAAGAGATGTGGGGGCAGGAGGCTCCTTCCACCCGAAAGGCCCCCACCTACTCAATACCCCTCAGCACAATCATTCCTGCCGCGCCTGTTGCTCTTTTACTCTTCCAATCATTTGCACTAGCAAAAGTGGCAAAAGAGGGGACCGGGTGTTTTTTTTTCCTTCCGTTTTTCCAGCAGTTCCCCCCTTCCCCCCCTTCTTTCCATGCCTTTTGGCGGGTAGGGAAGGGGGCAGGCAGGTGAGGAGCAGTTTCTGCCATTCTAAACAAATTTGCTGGACTTTTGGCTGTGATGAGAACTTGCCGGTTTGAGGCAGCCATACAGCAACTCTTGTTCATGTTTGTTTGTGTGTGTGTGTGTATGTGTGCGCGTACGCGGGGGTGTGTGGAGGTTTGTATGACCGGCTTATGCTGTGTAATTTTATTTAAAGTAAAATTTATGCCCTATCAAGTGACTTGCTTGCTTTCTGTTTTGCTAAGTGCACCCAGGAACAATGTGTATGTGTGTGTGTCTCTGCCCCCCCCTGCAGCTGTATTACTGAAAAAGCCCCCCCAGGGGGGGAGAGAGACCTTCTTATGTAGGAAAATAGAGAATTGCAGACGTCACTCCTTTCAACTGAACACGGAAGCATTTTTGAAACCGCCATTAATCGGTTAGGATCTATTATGTTTAATGCTATCCAGATTGGCCTCTTAGTAATGTTTGCATTCTTTGTCCTTAAGACCAATCCATCAGTCTATCCACATTCACAAGTTTTCAAGGGAAAGCATCTTAATGGGCTTCTTAGGAAGGATTAGATGATACTGAAAACCAAAGCTACATAATTGTTCATGACCGGAACTTCAATTTTATTTCTTCTGTGCATGGATTATCATCATTTTTTCCAGCGCAAACTACCCATTTCAGAGCATAGTCATTAGAATCCATATGGCTCAGTCATGACAGGCTATAATTGTTAGAAGCCAAGAAATCTGAAACTTTTTCCAAAAAGGAAATGTTAGACGTGACTGCTGAAATCCCACCAGCGTATTCTTTATTTTAGAGGGCAGGAATGTTTGAATAGGCATTGGCAGTTATAGAAAAGAAAGATGAATATGAACAAGATCATCTGGAGTGGGAAGGGGGGAATAAATGCAACAGAATTTTAATTCATCGTGGTTTAATCAATAAAAATAATTCCAGGGGTACAAATAATAACACAAAGCACATACAGGAAAAGAACAACTCCACCAAAACATTGCTGTAACAAGCTGTCTTCTGATACTGAATCATGAAATACTATGCTAAACTTTTAACTTACCCAGTTTGAGTTTTAATACCCTGCTAAACCAAGTACTTTAATTTTGTCTCAGCTGATGTAGGCAGCCAATCACTGTGGTTGTAAATCATGCTTGGTAGATCAGTGTATAGTATAAATTAGGATACCACAGCTCCGTGATGGCGAACCTATGGCATGCATGCCAGAGGTGGCACGCAGAGCCCTCCCTGTGGGCACGCATGCCATGGCCAGCTGCTCTTCTGGTTTCCAGCATGCACATACGTGCCAGCCAACTGGTCTTCCTGGGAGCTGGAGCACCAGAAAACGGTCTGAAAAAACAACCTGAAAACAGCCCTCAAAAATGCCCAAAAAACAGCCATGCGCGCGGAGGAGAGTTGGTCTTCTGTTGCTCTGGCATGCGTGAAGACCAGCTGGTTCTTGCGCAATGCACAACTGTTCCAGTTTGGGCATTTGGTGCCAAAAAGGT